TTTTTTTTTCTTTTTTTCCTTCACCCTCCTTGCGTTCCTTCACCCTCCTTGCGTTCCTTCACCCTCCTTGCGTTCCTTCACCCTCCTTGCGTTCCTTCCCCTCCTTGCGTTCCTTCACCCTCCTTGCGTTCCTTCACCCTCCTTGCGTTCCTTCTCCCTCCTTGCGTTCCTTCACCCTCCTTGCGTTCCTTCACCCTCCTTGCGTTCCTTCACCCTCCTTGCGTTTCTTCACCCTCCTTGCGTTCCTTCACCCTCCTTGCGTTCCTTCACCCTCCTTGCGTTCCTTCAGCCTCCTTGCGTTCCTTCACCCTCCTTGCGTTTCTTCACCCTCCTTGCGTTCCTTCACCCTCCTTGCGTTCCTTCACCCTCCTTGCGTTCCTTCACCCTCCTTGCGTTCCTTCACCCTCCTTGCGTTCCTTCACCCTCCCTTCGTTCCTTCACCGTCCTTGCGTTTCTTCACCCTCCTTGCGTTCCTTCACCCTCCTTGCGTTTCTTCACGCTCCTTGCGTTCCTTCACCCTCCTTGCGTTCCTTCACCCCCCTTGCGTTCCTTCACCCTCCTTGCGTTTCTTCACCCTCCTTGTGTTCCTTCACCCTCCTTGCGTTCCTTCACCCTCCTTGCGTTCCTTCACCCTCCTTGCGTTTCTTCACCCTCCTTGCGTTCCTTCACCCTCCTTGCGTTCCTTCACCCTCCTTTCGTTCCTTCACCGTCCTTGCGTTTCTTCACCCTCCTTGCGTTCCTTCACCCTCCTTGCGTTTCTTCACCCTCCTTGCGTTCCTTCACCCTCCTTGCGTTTCTTCACCCTCCTTGCGTTCCTTCACCCTCCTTGCGTTCCTTCACCCTCCTTGCGTTCCTTCACCCTCCTTGCGTTCCTTCACCCTCCTTGCGTTCCTTCACCCTCCTTGCGTTTTCACCCTCCTTGCGTTCCTTCACCCTCCTTGCGTTTCTTCACGCTCCTTGCGTTCCTTCACCCTCCTTGCGTTCCTTCACCCTCCTTGCGTTCCTTCACCTCCTTGCGTTCCTTCACCCTCCTTGCGTTCCTTCACCCTCCTTGCGTTCTTCACCCTCCTTGCGTTCCTTCACCTCCTTGCGTTTCTTCACCCTCCTTGCGTTCCTTTACCCTCCTTGCGTTCCTTCACCCTCCTTGCGTTCCTTCACCCTCCTTGCGTTCCTTCACCCTCCTTGCGTTCCTTCACCCTCCTTGCGTTCCTTCACCCTCCTTGCGTTCCTTCACCCTCCTTGCGTTCCTTCACCCTCCTTGCGTTCCTTCACCCTCCTTGCGTTCCTTCACCGTCCTTGCGTTCCTTCACCCTCCTTGCGTTCCTTACCCTCCTTGCGTTCCTTCCTCCTTGCGTTCCTTCACCCTCCTTGCGTTCCTTCACCCTCCTTGCGTTCCTTCCTCCTTGCGTTCCTTCACCCTCCTTGCGTTTCTTCACCCTCCTTGCGTTCCTTTACCCTCCTTGCGTTCCTTCACCCTCCTTGCGTTCCTTCACCCTCCTTGCGTTCCTTCACCCTCCTTGCGTTCCTTCACCCTCCTTGCGTTCTTCACCCTCCTTTCGTTCCTTCACCTCCTTGCGTTTCTTCACCCTCCTTGCGTTCCTTACCCTCCTTGCGTTCCTTCACCCTCCTTGCGTTCCTTCACCCTCCTTGCGTTTCTTCACCCTCCTTGCGTTCCTTCACCCTCCTTGCGTTCCTTCACCCTTGCGTTCCTTCACCCTCCTTGCGTTCCTTCACCTCCTTGCGTTCCTTCACCCTCCTTGCGTTCCTTTACCCTCCTTGCGTTCCTTCACCCTCCTTGCGTTCCTTCACCCTCCTTGCGTTCCTTCACCCTCCTTGCGTTCCTTCACTCCTTGCGTTCCTTCACCCTCCTTGCGTTCTTCACCCTCCTTGCGTTCCTTCACCCTCCTTGCGTTCCTTTACCCTCCTTGCGTTCCTTAACCCTCCTTGCGTTCCTTCACCCTCCTTGCGTTCCTTCACCCTCCTTGCGTTTCCTTCACCCTCCTTGCGTTCCTTCACCCTCCTTGCGTTTCTTCACCCTCCTTGCGTTCCTTCCCTCCTTGCGTTCCTTCACCCTCCTTGCGTTCCTTCACCCTCCTTGCGTTCCTTCACCCTCCTTGCGTTCCTTCACCCTCCTTGCGTTTCTTCACCCTCCTTTCGTTCCTTCACCGTCCTTGCGTTCCTTCACCCTCCTTGCGTTCCTTTACCCTCCTTGCGTTCCTTCACCCTCCTTGCGTTCCTTCACCCTCCTTGCGTTCCTTCACCCTCCTTGCGTTCCTTCACCCTCCTTGCGTTCCTTCACCCTCCTTGCGTTCCTTCACCCTCCTTGCGTTCCTTCCCTCCTTGCGTTCCTTCACCCTCCTTGCGTTCCTTCACCCTCCTTGCGTTCCTTCACCCTCCTTGCGTTCCTTCACCCTCCTTGCGTTCTTCACCCTCCTTGCGTTCCTTCACCTCCTTGCGTTCCTTCACCCTCCTTGCGTTCTTCACTCCTTGCGTTCCTTCACCCTCCTTGCGTTTCTTCACCTCCTTGCGTTCCTTCACCCTCCTTGCGTTCCTTACCCTCCTTGCGTTCCTTCACCCTCCTTGCGTTCCTTCACCCTCCTTGCGTTCTTCACCCTCCTTGCGTTTCTTCACCCTCCTTGCGTTCCTTCACCCTCCTTGCGTTTCTTCACCCTCCTTGCGTTCCTTTACCCTCCTTGCGTTCCTTCACCCTCCTTGCGTTCCTTCACCCTCCTTGCGTTCCTTCACCCTCCTTGCGTTCCTTCACCCTCCTTGCGTTCCTTCACCCTCCTTTCGTTCCTTCCCTCCTTGCGTTCCTTCACCCTCCTTGCGTTCCTTCACCCTCCTTGCGTTCCTTCACCCTCCTTGCGTTCCTTCACCCTCCTTGCGTTCCTTCACCCTCCTTGCGTTCCTTCACCCTCCTTGCGTTCCTTCACCCTCCTTGCGTTTCTTCACCCTCCTTGCGTTCCTTCACCCTCCTTGCGTTCCTTCACCCTCCTTGCGTTCCTTCACCCTCCTTGCGTTCCTTCACCCTCCTTGCGTTCCTTCACCCTCCTTGCGTTTCTTCACCCTCCTTGCGTTCCTTCACCCTCCTTGCGTTTCTTCACCCTCCTTGCGTTCCTTTACCCTCCTTGCGTTCCTTCACCCTCCTTGCGTTCCTTCACCCTCCTTGCGTTCCTTCACCCTCCTTGGTTCCTTCACCCTCCTTGCGTTCCTTCACCCTCCTTTCGTTCCTTCACCGTCCTTGCGTTCCTTCACCCTCCTTGCGTTCCTTTACCCTCCTTGCGTTCCTTAACCCTCCTTGCGTTCCTTCAGCCTCCTTGCGTTCCTTCACCCTCCTTGCGTTTCTTCACCCTCCTTGCGTTCCTTCACCCTCCTTGCGTTCCTTCCCCCTTGCGTTCCTTCACCCTCCTTGCGTTCCTTCACCCTCCTTGCGTTCCTTCACCCTCCTTGCGTTCCTTCACCCTCCTTGCGTTCCTTCACCCTCCTTGCGTTTCTTCACCCTCCTTGCGTTCCTTCACCCTCCTTGCGTTTCTTCACCCTCCTTGCGTTCCTTCACCCTCCTTGCGTTCCTTCACCCTCCTTGCGTTCCTTCACCCTCCTTGCGTTCCTTCACCCTCCTTGCGTTCCTTCACCCTCCTTGCGTTTCTTCACCCTCCTTTCGTTCCTTCACCGTCCTTGCGTTCCTTCACCCTCCTTGCGTTCCTTTACCCTCCTTGCGTTCCTTCACCCTCCTTGCGTTCCTTCACCCTCCTTGCGTTCCTTCACCCTCCTTGCGTTCCTTCACCCTCCTTGCGTTCCTTCACCCTCCTTGCGTTTCTTCACCCTCCTTGCGTTCCTTTACCCTCCTTGCGTTCCTTCACCCTCCTTGCGTTCCTTCACCCTCCTTGCGTTCCTTCACCCTCCTTGCGTTCCTTCACCCTCCTTGCGTTTCTTCACCCTCCTTTCGTTCCTTCACCGTCCTTGCGTTTCTTCACCCTCCTTGCGTTCCTTTACCCTCCTTGCGTTCCTTCACCCTCCTTGCGTTCCTTCACCCTCCTTGCGTTCCTTCACCCTCCTTGGTTCCTTCACCCTCCTTGCATTCCTTCACCCTCCTTCGTTCCTTCACCGTCCTTGCGTTCCTTCACCCTCCTTGCGTTCCTTACCCTCCTTGCGTTCCTTCACCCTCCTTGCGTTCCTTCACCCTCCTTGCGTTCCTTCACCCTCCTTGCGTTTCTTCACCCTCCTTGCGTTCCTTCACCCTCCTTGCGTTCCTTCACCCTCCTTGCGTTCCTTCACCCTCCTTTGCGTTCCTTCACCTCCTTGCGTTCCTTCACCCTTTGCGTTCCTTTACCCTCCTTGCGTTCCTTAACCCTCCTTGCGTTCCTTCACCTCCTTGCGTTCCTTCACCCTCCTTGCGTTTCTTCACCCTCCTTGCGTTCCTTCACCCTCCTTGCGTTCCTTCACCCCTTGCGTTCCTTCACCCTCCTTGCGTTCCTTCACCTCCTTGCGTTCCTTCACCCTCCTTGCGTTCCTTACCCTCCTTGCGTTCCTTCACCTCCTTGCGTTCCTTCACCCTCCTTGCGTTCCTTCCCTCCTTGCGTTCTTCACCTCCTTGCGTTCCTTCACCCTCCTTGCGTTCTTCACCTCCTTGCGTTCCTTCACCCTCCTTGCGTTCCTTCACCCTCCTTGCGTTCCTTCACCCTCCTTGCGTTCCTTCACCCTCCTTGCGTTCCTTCACCCTCCTTGCGTTTCTTCACCCTCCTTGCGTTCCTTCACCCTCCTTGCGTTTCTTCACCCTCCTTGCGTTCCTTCACCCTCCTTGCGTTCCTTCACCCTCCTTGCGTTCCTTCACCCTCCTTGCGTTCCTTCACCCTCCTTGCGTTCCTTCACCCTCCTTGCGTTTCTTCACCCTCCTTTCGTTCCTTCACCCTCCTTGCGTTCCTTCACCCTCCTTGCGTTCCTTTACCCTCCTTGCGTTCCTTCACCCTCCTTGCGTTCCTTCACCCTCCTTGCGTTCCTTCCCTCCTTGCGTTCCTTCACCCTCCTTGCGTTCCTTCACCCTCCTTGCGTTTCTTCACCCTCCTTGCGTTCCTTTACCCTCCTTGCGTTCCTTCACCCTCCTTGCGTTCCTTCACCCTCCTTGCGTTCCTTCACCCTCCTTGCGTTCCTTCACCCTCCTTGCGTTTCTTCACCCTCCTTTCGTTCCTTCACCTTGCGTTCTTCACCTCCTTGCGTTCCTTTACCCTCCTTGCGTTCCTTCACCCTCCTTGCGTTCCTTCACCCTCCTTGCGTTCCTTCACCCTCTTGGTTCCTTCACCCTCCTTGCGTTCCTTCACCCCCTCCTTTCGTTCCTTCACCCTCCTTGCGTTCCTTCACCCTCCTTGCGTTCCTTTACCCTCCTTGCGTTCCTTCACCCTCCTTGCGTTCCTTCACCCTCCTTGCGTTCCTTCACCCTCCTTGCGTTTCTTCACCCTCCTTGCGTTCCTTCACCCTCCTTGCGTTCCTTCACCCGCCTTGCGTTCCTTCACCCTCCTTTCGTTCCTTCACCGTCCTTGCGTTCCTTCACCCTCCTTGCGTTCCTTTACCCTCCTTGCGTTCCTTCACCCTCCTTGTGTTCCTTCAGCCTCCTTGCGTTCCTTCACCCTCCTTGCGTTTCTTCATGCTCCTTGCGTTCCTTCACCCTCCTTGCGTTCCTTCACCTCCTTGCGTTCCTTCACCCTCCTTGCGTTCCTTACCCTCCTTGCGTTCCTTCACCCTCCTTGCGTTCCTTCACCCTCCTTGCGTTCCTTCACCCTCCTTGCGTTTCTTCACCCTCCTTGCGTTCCTTCACCCTCCTTGCGTTCCTTCACCCTCCTTGCGTTCTTCACCCTCCTTGCGTTCCTTTACCCTCCTTGCGTTCCTTCACCCTCCTTGCGTTCCTTCACCCTCCTTGCGTTCCTTCACCCTCCTTGCGTTCCTTCACCCTCCTTGCGTTTCCTTCACCCTCCTTCGTTCCTTCACCTCCTTGCGTTCCTTCACCCTCCTTGCGTTCCTTTACCCTCCTTGCGTTCCTTCACCCTCCTTGCGTTCCTTCACCCTCCTTGCGTTCCTTCACCCTCCTTGCGTTCCTTCACCCTCCTTGCGTTCCTTCACCCTCCTTTCGTTCCTTCACCGTCCTTGCGTTCCTTCACCCTCCTTGCGTTCCTTTACCCTCCTTGCGTTCCTTCACCCTCCTTGCGTTCCTTCACCCTCCTTGCGTTCCTTCACCCTCCTTGCGTTCCTTCACCCTCCTTGCGTTCCTTCACCCTCCTTGCGTTCCTTCACCCTCCTTGCGTTCCTTCACCCTCCTTGCGTTCCTTCACCCTCCTTGCGTTCCTTCACCCTCCTTGCGTTCCTTCACCCTCCTTGCGTTCCTTCACCCTCCTTGCGTTTCTTCACCCTCCTTTCGTTCCTTCACCGTCCTTGCGTTTCTTCACCCTCCTTGCGTTCCTTTACCCTCCTTGCGTTCCTTCACCCTCCTTGCGTTCCTTCACCCTCCTTGCGTTCCTTCACCCTCCTTGCGTTCCTTTACCCTCCTTGCGTTCCTTCAGCCTCCTTGCCTTCCTTCACCCTCCTTGCGTTCCTTCTCCCTCCTTGCGTTTCTTCACCCTCCTTGCGTTCCTTCACCCTCCTTGCGTTCCTTCACCCACCTTGCGTTTCTTCACCCTCCTTGCGTTTCTTCACCCTCCTTGCGTTCCTTCACCCTCCTCGCGTTCCTTTACCTTCCTCGCGTTCCTTCACCCTCCTTGCGTTCCTTCAGCCTCCTTGCGTTTCTTCACCCTCCTTGCGTTTCTTCACCCTCCTTGCGTTCCTTCACCCTCCTTGCGTTTCTTCACCCTCCTTGCGTTTCTTCACCCTCCTTGCGTTCCTTCACCCTCCTTGCGTTCCTTCACCCTCCTTGCGTTCCTTCACCCTCCTTGGGTTCCTTCACCCTCCTTGCATTCCTTCACCCTCCTTTCGTTCCTTCACCGTCCTTGCGTTCCTTCACCCTCCTTGCGTTCCTTTACTCTCCTTGCGTTCCTTAACCCTCCTTGCGTTCCTTCAGCCTCCTTGCGTTCCTTCACCCTCCTTGCGTTTCTTCACCCTCCTTGCGTTTCTTCACCCTCCTTGCGTTCCTTCACCCGCCTTGCGTTCCTTCACCCTCCTTTCGTTCCTTCACCGTCCTTGCGTTCCTTCACCCTCCTTGCGTTCCTTTACCCTCCTTGCGTTCCTTCACCCTCCTTGCGTTCCTTCAGCCTCCTTGCGTTCCTTCACCCTCCTTGCGTTTCTTCATGCTCCTTGCGTTCCTTCACCCTCCTTGCGTTTCTTCACACTCCTTGCGTTCCTTCACCCTCCTTGCGTTCCTTTACCCTCCTTGCGTTCCTTCACCCTCCTTGCGTTCCTTCACCCTCCTTGCGTTCCTTCACCCTCCTTGCGTTTCTTCACCCTCCTTGCGTTCTTCACCCTTCTTGCGTTCCTTCACCCTCCTTGCGTTTCTTCACCCTCCTTGCGTTCCTTTACCCTCCTTGCGTTCCTTCACCCTCCTTGCGTTCCTTCACCCTCCTTGCGTTCCTTCACCCTCCTTGCGTTCCTTCACCCTCCTTGCGTTTCTTCACCCTCCTTTCGTTCCTTCACCGTCCTTGCGTTCCTTCACCCTCCTTGCGTTCCTTTACTCTCCTTGCGTTCCTTCACCCTCCTGCGTTCCTTCACCCTCCTTGCGTTCCTTCACCCTCCTTGCGTTCCTTCACCCTCCTTGCGTTCCTTCACCCTCCTTGCGTTTCTTCACCCTCCTTGCGTTCCTTTACCCTCCTTGCGTTCCTTCACCCTCCTTGCGTTCCTTCACCCTCCTTGCGTTCCTTCACCCTCCTTGCGTTCCTTTACCCTCCTTGCGTTCCTTCACCCTCCTTGCGTTCCTTCACCCTCCTTGCGTTCCTTTACCCTCCTTGCGTTCCTTCACCCTCCTTTCGTTCCTTCACCGTCCTTGCGTTCCTTCACCCTCCTTGCGTTCCTTTACCCTTCTTGCGTTCCTTCACCCTCCTTGCGTTCCTTCACCCTCCTTGCGTTCCTTCACCCTCCTTGCGTTCCTTTACCCTCCTTGCGTTCCTTCAGCCTCCTTGCGTTTCTTCACCCTCCTTGCGTTCCTTCACCCTCCTTGCGTTCCTTCACCCTCCTTGCGTTCCTTCACCCTCCTTGCATTCCTTCATCCACCCCACCAGTACGAGTTGCTTCCCCCCGTTACTCCTGCTCCCCTGTACCCTCACTTGTGTTCTTCCTTCACCCTCTCTGCCCTTCTAAATCCCACCCCACTAGTACGAGGACCCTTCTCGGCAGGCCAAGGCTCGCTCGCTCATTCCTCGTCAGCAACTGGAGGAGGCAGCAGCCGTGTACCTTGTCAAGGTGTGTGCGGGTGGGTGGGGTGGGTGGTGGTTGTAGACTGCTGGGTGGCTCAGCAGTATTCTCTACATTGCTAGGGTGCGTCGTTTTTTTAGGTGCCTCAAATGCCTTTGGTTATGCAGTTCATAAGTCCTTTCTGAAGGCACCTCAAAACGCGCCAAGGTGCGTGTGGGGCGGTGCACACTGCGAGGTGAGGCAGTACTCGGGACATTGCTAAAGGTTTATCCACGTCTCCGAATTGTATTCACTCATGGTCTTGGGAAGAGCAGCAGTGCGAAGTCAGTCGCTTGAGCAACAAGAACGAGAGTAAAAAATCCTAGGCAGAGATTTGCTTCGTAAAAACTCTTCAGTCAAATTTACCAGGTCGCAAACATGTTTCGGCTTACGGGGATCAAACCCGCCGAGCCTTCATCAGTGCTACTGGACATAAGAAATCACGAGTCTAGGCATGAGCTAAGTAACAACCCACACCCTCCAAAACAATTCTCAAGATTGTCAACTACCCAGATTGCCTATCAATGGGCATTCGCCAACACAGCAGTGGGTAAAAACCCGAGGTTGCAGGTGTCAGTCTTCAAGAGGGTCTTCTTCCGAACTGTCGATAAGCCTTGGTAACTTGGCTCGCACAAGTAACTTTTGAAGGTTACGTGCACACCTCCATGCAATGAAAATATTCCCCATATAAAATCCGCGTGAGTTGAGACGATTTTTGAGGCGCCTCAAAAGGACCCCCAGCCTGAGACGCGCTGTTAACGGAGTAAACAGCGTCTTCAAGACAAGGGGCCCGCGGTCAGGGGGAGTAGAAATTCGGTGTGCCTGGCGAGCTTCAGTCTGCTCCAATAGGAGCGGGCGTTGTCGGAAGAGAACACTCTGGAAGATGGGTGTCAGAAAATCAGCCGGATAACCCCGATCTCTTAGCCGCTGGAAGAAAGCACGCTTAGAAGCAAAGTAGGTTTGAGCAGATGAGGAGCGCAAGAGGTAACGCTTCAGCTCCGCCCGTATGAAACCTATCTTGCAGTGTCGGGGGTGGAATGACGAAAAAGGCAGGTACAGGTACCGGTTCATCGGTTTCTGAAAAGTTTTCAGATCCAGGGTACCCTGTTCGGAGAAACGTTGACCCTTGAAGATGACCAGGTCGAGGAAGTCAGCCGAACTGTCTGAAATGTGCCACGTGAGCTTGATGTTTGGATCGAGCGTGTTGAAGGTGTTCAGGTACTCCTCCAATTCGCTCTTCGATCCGGGCCAAATTATTAACCCGTCGTCGATGTAGCGCACGTGGCACAATGGTGTAGTTCCAGACCACCGCCTTGAAAGAATCTCGTCCAGCCAGCTCATGAAGAGGACAGCAAAGCACACTGCAACAGGAGTTCCCATAGCAGTCCCTTGTGTCTGTTGGTAGATTCGGCTGTTGAACTCCACGAAAGAATTCATCATGACCCATTCCAGCAGGGCCATGACTGGTTGAGAATTCACGATTCTCCCTCGTTGAAGAAAATTGCCCACCGCATCGAGCCCTCGCCTTAGTGGGATGCTGGGATAAAGCGAGGTGACGTCGTACGTAGCTAGAAGTATTTCTTTAGGAAAGGCGGTCTTTTCCAGCATCAGTAGCAATGAGAGGGAGTCGCGCAGGTAGGTTGGTTGTTGAAGCACCAGTGGTCGAAGTTCCGCGTCCAACCAACGGCTAACATTCGAAGTCACCCATGAATGTGAAGCTGCGATAGGCCGCCCCGCGAGTTTCTTCTTGTGTAGCTTCGGAAGGATGTAGAACGCCGCCGGTCGCCATCCTCCGCGCGGTTTGTCAAAGAAAATTTCCACAGGCTCTCGGGAAAAGCAGGTCCCCACACGCTTTGCAGATCACGCAGCTTCCGCACGACGTCGGCGGTAGGATCTCGATGAACTGGAGTGTAGGTCGTCGCGTCGTCAAGATGGTCGAGACAGAGGCGAACGTAGTGACTCCGGTCCATGACAGTGATCCCGACGTTCTTGTCGGCAGGTTTCACTACTACGTGTCGATCCGCAGCGATGGAGCGCAGCGCCCGTCGAACACCAGACGAGATGTTCTGATGTCGGAACGGGCGGGTTGCCTTCAACAGGAAGGACAAGTCGAATGACGAATCCTTGAAGACCTGCTCCGGAATTTGAATCCGATCAGGAAGCCAGTCGGGATTCCGCACTCGAAAGCGCGAGTCCCCCTTCCGACCGCCGTCATCCTTGAAGAAAAGTCGAAGCGAAATCTGGCGTAGGAGCTGGTCGAGCTCCACAGCACCAGACAGGGAAACGGCAGGCGTTGGAATGAACTTCAGTCCCAACCCCAGCCCCTTCTTCTCGTCCGAAGACAAGACCTTGGAGCTGAGGTTATGTACTCCCCGGTTCCGGATCCGTGTCGACAGCTGCCGCACTGTCAACCGTCCGAACCAGCGGAGCGCCAAGTCGTGACTGGTTAGTTCTTGCCCGGCCCTTTTCCGGGGCCGCCTCCGCCGTTTTTTGGTCCCTTGGCCTTCTCAGATGTTTGGCCACCCGCTTGCTGGTCCTTGTCGGTGCCGTTCTTCTTTTTGTTCTTCTTACCCCCGCGTTTCTTCTTTGGCTTCGAGTCCGTTGCCGTATTAGCCGAGAGGCGCTCCTGAGGATCAGGAGTGAAGGGCTTCGACGTTCCGGCAGACGATTTCTTCTGCTTCGAGTCAACAGCGGGGGCCCAGGAGGAGTCCTGTGCTCCGAGAGAAAGATTTTTCAGCAGCTTCTTCATCAGATTGGATTCAATTTTTGGCGCGAGCTCCCTCCAAAACTTGTCTTCAATCCGCTTCGTGTGCTTGTCCATAATCTTCTCAATCCCGGTCTCGGTTTCCATGTCATGCACCTCCTCGGACGCAGCAGCCTTCTTCAATTCTTCAGCAGCTACCTTCCGCTGTCGATCCAGCTCCTTGATGACGATGTCATCTTTCGCAGCTGCGATGTCGGAATTCGCCTTCGCAATGCATCTCCCCTTGAGCAGTCGAAACTTCTCCTTGGCGGTATCAGAAACCACCAGATCGGGGTTAGTGCTCAGGCTTTGAATATAATCTTCCATCGTTGCAGCTAGAGCGGTGACGTGCGAATTCGCCGCTGTCTGCAGCTCTTCAACCTCCAGTGCCTTTGAGGCGATGAAGTCCGCCTGCAGCCGTTTCTGGTTCGCCTCGTGAATCGCGGCGACGGATGCAGCAGATTTCTCTTTAACGGCTGGAAGCTTCGTTTGGAACTCGACAGCCTTGGTGCGGATGCTGTGAAGCAAAACACCTTGAGCATCGAGATCCTTCATCTTCTTGAGCTTCTCTTTCGCCTTCAGCAAAGTCTTGAAGTCGTCGCGAAAGCTTTTGACGGCCGACTCCGTCCATCCCTTGAAAGGTTGAGGGATTGGAGAGGTGTCGGCAGCTTCCGCCATGACGCTTGGACGACTTGTCGACGGGCCGGTGGGATGAGCTTCAGCTTGCTTGCTTAGTAGAGTGGGTTCGTAGGTCAATGCCAGTGGAGGGATTCTCTTCCCAGCTCCAGATCGCCTGGCGTGTCTTGCGGAGCGTGATGATCCTCCCTCCCCACAAACGCGCTTAACCGAGCTGCGACCACTTGTACCGGCTTCTTCCTCGTCGGATGGAATCCAATCGAAGTCCCACGGGTCGTCGTCACTCATGGTCTTGGGAAGAGCAGCAGTGCGAAGTCAGTCGCTTGAGCAACAAGAACGAGAGTAAAAAATCCTAGGCAGAGATTTGCTTCGTAAAAACTCTTCAGTCAAATTTACCAGGTCGCAAACATGTTTCGGCTTACGGGGATCAAACCCGCCGAGCCTTCATCAGTGCTACTGGACATAAGAAATCACGAGTCTAGGCATGAGCTAAGTAACAACCCACACCCTCCAAAACAATTCTCAAGATTATCAACTACCCAGATTGCCTATCAATGGACATTCGCCAACAAAGCAGTGGGTAAAAACCCGAGGTTGCAGGTGTCAGTCTTCAAGAGGGTCTTCTTCCGAACTGTCGATAAGCCTTGGTAACTTGGCTCGCACAAGTAACTTTTGAAGGTTACGTGCACACCTCCATCCATGCAATGAAAATATTCCCCATATAAAATCCGCGTGAGTTGAGACGATTTTTGAGGCGCCTCAAAAATCGTGTGGGGCGGTGCACACTGCGAGGTGAGGCAGTACTCGGGACATTGCTAAAGGTTTATCCACGTCTCCGCATTGTATTTTGAGTTGATGCAGAATCTGTGTCCGTCCTTGCCTCTGCATTGCCTGGGGGAGTGGACTGCATGCATCTGTACGATAGCAATGTTTGGCCGCGGGCTTTAAGATTGGGCCTTATGGGTTTGTTATAACTTGTGGTGTACGGTCGTACATATAGGCCCCCCTCTTACCTCTTTCCCCTCCTCCTCCTCCCTCGCACCTACAGCAAGGGCAGTGCCAGCCGTCAGAGGCTGAGTTTCGAGACGCTGTGTTGAGGCACCTGCTCATCTGGTTCAAGTCCTGGTTCAAGTGAGTTCACTCTTGGTTCAGGTGATAACGGTGCTGGTTCAGGTGGTTTCGAGTCGTGATTCAGGTGAGTTCACTCCTGGTTCAGGTGGGCTCACTCTGTTGCAGCTGATGCGGTTTGTCAAGCTTTTCCTTTTTTTTTCCTCTTTTTTTTCCAGTTTCCTCCTTATCCCAGCCACCTCACTTCCACCTGCTCCGTTGCTGCGCGTGACTCACCCTCCCCTAACGACCTGCCTGTCTTCCTTCTGGGCGCAGCTCCCCCCCACCCCTTCCTCCTCCCGCCCCTCTCCCCATTCAGATGTGTTGACTCAGTTGGTTGGTTTTAGAGGATTTAAAAAAGCCAACTCGACTCTCTGTCCCAAATTCCACACCCCATACATGCGTCTTCCCTGACGACCTGCCTGTCGACATGCCTGTCTTTCCTTCTGGGCGCAGCTCCCCCCCCCCCATACACACCCCATACATGCGTCTTCCATGCCAATGGCTGGCCATCTCCAATGACCCGCTTGCCTTTCCCTCGTCCCTTGTACCGCTCTTCCCTCGTCCATGTCCCATCCAGATGGGTGGACTCCCCTCCCTGTCCCAAGTGCCACACCCCCACCTGCACCTTCCATGGCAACGCCACGCCATCCGCAGAGGACCTGCGGTGGGGCGGGCAGCGAGTGGAGCTGCACAGGTGAGAGAAAGGGGGAGGAAGAGGGAGGGAGGGAGGCATTGGGAGAGTCCAGGGAAGGGGGGTAATGGCGTGAAGGGCACTTGCTTCTTCCAAGGCATTGGCACGGCGTTCAAGGAGGATCTAGGGTGGGGCGGGCAGCGAGTGGAGCTACACAGGTGAGAGCGGGGTGGAGGGAGGAGATGGAGGGATTGAGATGTTTGAAGGTGGGGGGAGGGAAGGGGTGACGGGCCCTGGCACCTGGCAATGGCGCACCATCCAACAAGGATCTGCAGTGGGGCGGGCAACAAGTGGAGCTGCACAGGTGAGAGCGGGCTAGAGGGAAGAAAGGGAAGGGAGAGATGTGGGTGGGGTGGGGAGGGACGAAGGGAAGGTGGGATGGGACGGGGGTTGGAGGGGCAGGGGCAGGGGCATGCCATGCCACCCAACGGCGACCCGCGGTGGGGGGGACAGCAAGAGGGATGCAGAGGTGAAGGCACATGCGTTTGAGTCGACTCAAAATCACAGTTGAAGGGCAGGTGCGCCTTCCATGGCAACGGCACGCCATCCAACAAGGACCTGCGGTGGGGGGAACAGCAGGTAGAGCTGCACAGGTAAGGAGAGAGAGGGAGGAGGGAGAGGAATGGGGAGAGGAGGGTGGAGGGAGGATGGCGAGTGGAGGGTGGCGGGAATGGGAGGGAAGAGGCATGGAACGCCAATGGGAACCTGCAGTGGTGGGGGGCAGCAGGAAGAGCTGCACTGGTGAGAGAGGAGAGGAGTAGATGGTGGGGAGGCGGGAGAGGGAGGAAATAGAGGAGAGGGGTAACGGGGAAGGAAAGCGAGAGGGACAAGTGGGAGAGGGGCATGCTGAGCGCGATGGCACCCACGCATGTGGGAAAGCGCACGTGCGCATGTGGGAAAGCGCATGTGGGAAAGTTCAAGGGCTGGTGTGAGAAGTGCTCACGGCCGTCACTCCGTTTCAACACTGTTTCAACTTTCCGATCCCTAAAATGCACTCCAGCTCCAAGCCGCACTCTAGCTCCAATGCGCTACCCCCCCCTCGCCACGTTTGAATCTGCTCATGTGATCACCCCCTCTCCCTCGCCCCCTCAACCCTCCTCCCGCCCATTTCTTCCATCTCTTTTCCAACTCTGGTTCGTGACGTGCGTGTGCACATTCAGGTGCAAGCAGTGTGGCTCCACAGCTCGCTTCGTGCGATACAACGATCCTGCTAAGGTAACGAGGAAGGAACCACAGGTGCGGTGTACTTCATGTGCACGAGTGTGTGCCTGTGTCGGCTCTCAGGTGCAAGCAGTGTGGAGTGGATCCACAGCTCGCTTCGTGCGATACAACGACCCTGCTAAGGTAAGGCTCCTCTTTCATGTCCCATCCTCTTTCATGTCCCATCCTCTTTCATGTCCCATCCTCTTTCATGTCCCATCCTGTCTCCTTCTGTTCCCTCAACTGCCATTATCTATTCACCTTCCCTCTTTGACCCGCATTCCCCTCTCTGCATTTCCCTCTCTGCATTTCCCTCTCTGCATTTCCCTCTCTGCATTTCCCTCTCTGCATTTCCCTCTCTGCATTCCCCTCTCTGCATATCTCACTTCCCCCCCCTCTCCCACCCCGCTCTTGCGGTCCCCCAACCTCCCCCCTTTCATCCAGCTCCTAGGCACAAGAAAGGGTCACTGTTGGGAGTGTATATCGAATTTCATCCCTCCCCTATCTGCCGCTCCCAACCCCTCTCTACCACTCTCTACCGCTCTCCTCCCTCCCTCCACCCGTCCAGCTCCTAGACACCAGGGAGGGCCGCTGTGGCGAGTGGGCCAACGCCTTCACCCTCTGCTGCCGGGCGCTGGGCTACGATGCCAGGCAGGTGTGAATCGTGCCTCTAGTAGTGGTGTGAGCCTGTGAGGCAGGTGTGATTAGAGCAATGCCAGGAAGGTGTGATTCTGTCAGATATTGATTTTAATTGCAACAAGCGGGGTACGTGATCAGATAGTTGTGTTGTGAGCCAACGCCTTCACTCTCTGTTGCCGAGCACTGGGTTACGATTCTGGGCAGGGGAGATCAAATGTGGCACGATGGTTGCTGGTTTGGCTGTAACAGTAGCAGGTGTGGTAGCAGGTGTGGTAGCAGCCGCTCCTTTACGCGAAGGAGGGCTGCTGTGGCGAGTGGGCGAACGCCTTCACTCTCTGCTGCCGTGCGCTGGGCTATGCTGCGTTTCTTACGCCACATGGATGCATCCTTTTGAGTCGACTCAAAAGTCGCCGTGCTCTGGGCTACGCTGTGTTACTGACGCCACGTGGATGCATCATGCATCTGCATCCGCATGTGCCTCTGTGTGTGTTCATGTCAACGTGTGTGCTGGTTGTGCTTATGGGATGCGTGCATGCATGTGATGATGACAGGTAGTGGATTGGACGGACCATGTGTGGACCGAGTGCTTCTCGCACGCCGACCAGAGGTGGGTTGGCTTTGATGTGTGTGATATGACTCGTGAGCAATCATCTCCGGCTAGGAAGAATGGTGAAAGCAGTGTGCGACCAGAATCTGATCATCCGATTCAGAGGCAGTGCATTGGACGGACCATGTGTGGGCGGAGTGCTGGTCGCGTGCAAGGTGTGCTGGACACGAGTGCCTGCACCTGCACGTGTGGATTGAATGGAGCACGCATGTGGATTGTCTGCTACTCGCATGCCTAGTACAGGTAAGTGTATTACTAGGTTTAGTGACCACAAAGATACGTGTGGCAAGAGACGGAGCGGAGCGGGGTGTGGGCGACAAGACACCAGTGAACGAACCCAGGTGTGGGGGGCATTGTGTGAAGTGGTGGTGGTGGTGGGTGTCATTTCAACACGTGGTGGGGGGGCGTTATTGAAGGGAGGGAAATCATGACAACACCGCGTGGATGTGGGCTGGCATTAAGGCAGTGAAATTAAAAGCTCCCTCTGTTCTTTTTTCTCCCTCCACTCCGTTTCCATCCTTAGTTGCTACAAACGCGTTTGGCGTTTGAACGCTAAACGCTTGTCATAGTGTATGTGAACGCTAGGCAAACGCTTGCCCGGGCAGGGCTAAAAAATTTGCCCGGGCAGGGGTAAAAATTTCCTGTGGGGGGGTGGGGAAATGGGGGTTCTGCAAGCAACCATTTTGTCCAAGAAAAATAAATCCGTCATGAACATTTATGCAAGCATCCTCAAATGTCATGCAAAATACATGTCCGGGCGACACTCATATTTCTGCATTGCACCGGCCTCCTTGACTTGAACGCGGAAGTATTTATAGACCTCATGATTCTTATCCGCCTCGTACGCATTAGAACATGTGGACGCTGTAACAGCACCATCCGCATCGCTCTCAGGGGTTGACATGGGCGAGCGCCCTTAAGTTAAGGTATTGCGTGGGGTGTGAAAGTTGCTACGGCTATGGCGCGCGGCAATTAGACAGCAGATCTGACGGGGGAAGGAGTTTGGGAGTTTGCGTGAAACTACGAGATGTGAGGAGGAGGGGTTGGAAGCTCTAGTTGACGATGTGTGGAGTGGAGTGCGGTTGGGGGGGGGGGGAGTTGGTTGGGAGGTGAATATTGACGAGATGGTTGGGAGATGGGACTTGGCGAATGTCGCGCTGAATTCGCCAAGTCTCAATTTCGCCCCAATTTTTTTCGATTTTTTACCAGGGGGCAGCCCGAAGAAAAAACCCAGCGAGCGTTTGCGTTTTAGGGTTCGTTTGGCGTTTGCGTTCAAACGCAAGCGTTTGAACGCTAAACGCGCGTCTGCCAGAGCGTTTGTAGCAACTAAGTTTCCATCCTCCCCTCGCAGCTGGTTGCCTGTGAATACCCTCGCAGCTGCCTGTAAATGCCTGCGACTTTCCAAGCTCGCTCTGCTCCTCCTCCCCCCCCCCCATATCCCCCTCCTCCCTTGCAGGTGGTTGCATCTGGATCCCTGTGAAGCGGCTCTCAAATAGGCGACCAGGCGACCACCTGTGACCTTCCTATGCATGCCCCCCTTCCTCTTCCCCCATGGCCCCCCTCCCTTGCAGGTGGTTGCATCTGGACCCCTGTGAAGCAGCATTTGACACGCCGCTACTCTACGAGCAAGGGTGGGGCAAGAAGCTTACCTACGTGTTTGGAGTGGGGAGGGATGGTGTTGCTGACATCATCTGGCGATACACAAGGCGATGGGATGAGGTGAGTAAGTTCAGGAAAGGGAATAAGAACCATGGTTTCTTCTATCCTGAAGCATTACCCAGCTGAGGTTATAGCTCTGCTCCCTCTCCTTTCCGATCAATCTCCTCTCCTCTCCTCACCGATCAAACCCCTCTCCTCTCCATTCCGATCAAACCCCTCTCCGCAACCCGTAACCGTCTCCAGCACAGGCGAGCAGCAGACGCTTTACAGTCAGCCGTGGCAGCAGCAGTGGCAGCACGGGCCAGGGCCAGCCTGAGTGTGGATGCAAGGAGTGCTCCATACAGTCACACACATTCTCCTCTCCTCTACTCATCCCCTCCCTTGCAACCCCTTAGCTACAACACAGGCGAACAGAGGCGTCAGAATCAGCAGTGGCAGCAGCAGTGGCAGCAGTGACAGCAAGGGCCCGAGCTAACCTAAGTGTGGATGAGAGGAGGCGGTTGGAGGGGAGGGATAAGCAAGAGAGAGAGGACCTGAGGGGAAGGAGGGGAGGAGGGAGAGAGGGAGGAAGGGAGGGAGGGGAGAGGGATGGGGTGGTTTTGGGGGGAAGGCAGACAGGGTCGGTTGAGTGGCGAGCCGCAAGGGGGGAACTGGGAATGGAGAGGGGGGACGAGGGCAGGAAGGGGGGAGGTGGGGAAGGGAGTGAGGGGAAGGATGGGAGGATGGAGAGAAGGGTGGTGGATGGTCATATTAGGCGACTGTTCATGGCTGTTGGTGACATGTGTCGCAATGTTGTTGGGCCTGACACATGTGGAGTTGAAGCGGCAGCAGGAGGAGGAGCAAGAGCAGTGCTGGCAGTAGCAGCAGGAGCACCAGCAGCAAGAACGGAGCCAGTAGCAGCTGAGGTAGCAGGTGCACAGGAGTCTTTAGACGCTCTCCTCTCGCTGCTCTCTGTTCTGCGCTGTCTTCCCTTCCGCTCTCGTGCCTTGCCACTCAATGACAAGCGATGCGATCCCTTTCGCAGGATACTCTTGGATGCGGCAGCATCAACAGTCAGCAGCAGAGGTGGTGGTGGTGCTGCTGCTGCTGTTGCAGCTGCAATGGCTGGTACTGCTTCTACTGCCGTTGCTAGTGGCAATGCTAGTGGACGTGACAGGAGCAGTGACGGGAACATCACCACCGCCATCGCCACCACCATCACCACCACTAGCTCCCAGGAGAGGCCTCTCGCCTCCTCCGCAGCACCTCTGCTATCCCTCCTAACTGTCATGGGGGTCACGATTTGGATGGAGGGGGTTGAGGGGAGAGATGGAAGGGGGTGGATGGTGGGGGTGAAGGGGGTTGGAGAAGGAGAAGGGGGTGTGGAGAAGGGAAAAGAGGACAGTAAGGGAGGAATGGAGGGGCGGAAGGGTGAAGGGGCAGCAGCGGAGGGGGAGTGGAGGTATGGACGAGAGGCCGTGCTGGCGGCTATGGCGATGCAGGCAGCACAGGAGGTGCTGCCACGTGTCAAGCAGGCATTGGCGCAGATGCGAGCTGGCAGTAGCGGTGGGGATGGAGATGGCTCGTGGCTGCAGTGCGTGGTGCAGCACGAGAGGGTGTGTGGCGGCTGGGTGACAGCTGATGGGGAGAATCCGCCCAACGAACTGGTGAGATGGGCGTGGCTGGCTCTATGTTGTGACCCATGGTGTGTTGTGACAAGAAGGAGAATGGGAGGGAGATGCGGACATGCGGCATGGCTGCAGTGCATGGTGCAGCACGAGAGGGTGTGCGGAGGCTGGGCGATGGCTGATGGGGAGAACTCTCCCAACGAGATGCTGAGATGGGTGTGGCTCTACGGGCTTAGGTTATGTGGTGATGTGACCCTATGGTGCTCTAGTGCCTGGTGCAGCATGAGAGGGTGTGTGGTGGCTGCTGTGGTGAGAATGCTCCCATGCACCATCTCCTCTATGTGCTGCTTACCTTGCTTTTCCTCCTCTCCATCTTAAGTAATCTTGTTTCCACCTTCCCTCCCCTCCCGCTGCCCTCCCTCTCCCGTCCCTCTCAGGCCATCGCTGCATGCGATGGATCACTGCAAACCAAGTGGCTGCACCATGAGGGTGGAAAAGGTCAGCCATGCCATGTCATGCCATGCCATGCCGTGCCGTGCCATGCCATGCCGTGCCGTGCCGTGCCATGCCATGCCGTGCCGTGCCATGCCGTGCCGTGCCGTGCCGTGCCATGCCATGCCGTGCCGTGCCGTGCCATGCCGTGCCGTGCCATGCCATGCCGTGCCGTGCCGTGCCATGCCATGCCCTGCCGTGCCGTGCCATGCCGTGCCATGCCGTGCCGTGCCGTGCCGTGCCGTGCCGTGCCGTGCCGTGCCGTGCCGTGCCGTGCCGTGCCGTGCTGTGCCGTGCCGTGCCGTGCCGTGCCCTGCTGTGCCGTGCCGTGCCGTGCCGTGCCGTGCCGTGCCGTGCCGTGCCGTGCCGTGCCGTGCCGTGCCGTGCCGTGGCGTGCCATGCCATGCCATGCCATGCCGTGCCCTGCCGTGCCGTGCCGTGCCGTGCCGTGCCATGACATGCCATGCCATGCCCTGCCGTGCCGTGCCATGCCATGCCATGCCATGCGGTGCCATGCCATGCCATGCCATGCTGGGCTGTGTCAGGCCATCGCTGCATGCAATGCATCACTCCAACAAGTAGCGCAGTTCCAGCTCACATTCATTGCAAGCATTGCCGTCTCACCATGGATAGCTCACGCTGCTCCATGCCACTCCCTGTCAGGCGCATGGATGCAATACCGCCTCGGTGGCTCGGCGCCTGTTACTGTCACAGCGTACTCAATCACGTCGGCCAATGACTGCCCAGAAAGGGACCCCTGCTGCTGGTGAGATTCGCGCAAGCAAACGAGACAGTGGTGCTGTTGGTGACTGTTGCACGAGCCCATGAGACATGATGACAGCACCATTTGTTTATCTCATCCCACCACTTGTCAGCCAGTTTCATACATGCATTTCTGCATCCCTGTCCGCCATGTAATTGACCATTTCTGCTGAACACGTCATCCCACATGTCCCATCCCATATACACTGCATCAGGTCGCTACAAGCTAGCACGGATGCCGGTGTGACATGGCGCGTTCTAGACTCGCAGTCTGCTGTGGGGTTCAGCAGCAGGCACCAAACTCGGGTGTTCCCTGTCAGGCCAGCCAACCAGTCTGCAGCATCTCTGTACAGGTACGAAGCTAGCTGTGTGCGGGTACATGCGTTGGATGCTGCTGGTAAGTACCTCTTTTGAGTCGACTGAAAGCTAGCTGTCTGCAGGTATTTGCTTTTCTGTCCAGCACTGGTGGCATTATGGCATAGAACATGGTAGACTTGCAATCTGGTGTGCTCTTCAACAGCAGGCATCAGACTCGAGTGTTCCCAATCAGGTCAGCCAAGCAAGCCCCCGAATCTCTGTACAGGTATGGGATGGCAGGAATGTCTACGTCTGTGTAGGAATGAACCTTTCTGTGGAGCCATTATTCCTACAGCCTGCAGGTGTACAATTTTCCATGGGGTTGCTCAGCGGACACTATCTTTGTGCCTCTAGGTTGTACCTGTTTCCTGTTGATTCATTCTTCTTACCTGTTCTCCGTATTTGGCCAATGCCAAGCAAGCGTCATCATGTTTCTCTTGCCTGTATAGCCTCGTTTGTTTCCGGATTGGTAAGTCCCGTCGTGAAAGTAAATTATAGAGACTGCTTGCCTCGGGTTTAGGTAACAGTCACCAGAGTTCATGGTACCAGCGGCTCCTACCTCTCCTCGTCCCCCTTGTGTTCATCTCACGCAGGCTTGCGATCTCAGCTGTGCAAGACCCATCCTGCAGCTGCCTTCAGCTCGCCTGCTTTGACCTTTTCACCTCACGTAAGCTGCCTGCACAGCCACATAATCATCACGCACCCACAACAGCTGGAGCTGTGGATGTCAAAAGCGAAGCGGCTAAAGATGAAGAGCATCCACGATCGCCGGTAATCAAGCCACCATCGTCAGTGGTCACTGCAGCAGCTGCAGCAGCGGCAGCAGCAGCGGCCCGCGAGCAGTTTGCTGCAGCAGTGCGTGAAGAGTTTCAACGGCTGGTTGTGGAGAAGGTTCCTGCGAATGAGGCTGCAAGCCGAGCTTTGAAGCTTGTGCAGTACAGATTGAGCCAAGGCAGGCAATAAGCTTGATGGAAAAAGGAAAAGCTTTGATGATAGAGGCTGTTGATAAGAATCGGCTTGAAAACACCTCAATGTCCTCGCATGGTTACAATTCGAACATTATGTGGCTCAGTGCTACCTACCTGATTGTTTCATTTGTCAAGCAATCCAGCTACAGGGACTGTGCGAAAGGTACCGTACTTGAATTAACATAAATGTAAGCCGAGCCATGGTCAGACCCACTTTAAATTACCCACACCCAGGCTCAGTCAGCAGAGCAGCCCCCTAGACATCAGACTTTTTACCCTGATTCAGCCTTTTTTCAGGGTTTTGGGATAGGGTAATGCTGATTGGCTGGCCTTTTTTTGGAGGTGGGTGCTGATTGAAGAGTTATTTTAAAATGTTGAAGTCTGTTTTTTCATAGTTTTTGTAGGAGTGTACGCTGTTGCATCAGCAGAACAATAGGGTGGGGCTCTGAAACCGAGTACAGCGAGAGCCCCCCCTCCCCCCCCCTCCAATTTAAGTTTTCAGTAACACACACCCATAAAAAATTGTCAAGTCCTCCGCAACCAGTCACATCCCTCATACCCCCGCAATCCCGATAATTTTGTCAGTCTTCCGCAACCAGTCACATCCCTCTCACACCCCCCCCAATCCAGATAAATCTAAGTCTTCCACAACCAGTCACGTCCCTCCAATACCCCCCCCCAATCCCGATATTTGTTCCACTCTTTAGCAACCAGTGGCATCCCTCTCACAACCCCCGCAATCCCGATAAATTTTGTCGTGGCACTGGGATAGCCGTGTCGAACCTCCTCTCTCTCTAGGGAGGGTACTAGGGAGGCTTTCCCTGGGGAAGGTGGATATATGGAGCCTAACTCTCTTGATGAGATCCCTTTTTGTCCCAGTGGTTAGGACTGATGGCTTTATAGCATGGTATCAGAGCGATCCAGAGTTCAATTCCTGGTGTACACGCTATCCCAGCGGGGGGGTGTGTCGTGGCACTGGGATAGCCCTGTCGAACCTCCTCTCTCTCTAGGGAGGGTACTAGGGAGGCTTTCCCTGGGGAAGGTGGATATATGGAGCCTAACTCTCGTGATAACATCCCTTCTTGTCCCAGTGGTTAAGATTGATGGCTTTAAAACAATCCTAGTCTTCTGCAACCAGTCACGTCCCCGAATACCCTGTGGAATCCAGATATTCCTCACCCCCCAAATATTGTATACCATCTGAAAACTACCCCTAAACAAACTACGAAACCAACGCATGAAAAAATCAGCCATGTTCCTCCCAACCCCCCTCACAAACCACGAAATGTGGCATGGACAACTACAGTACAAGTCCCTCCCACCCACACCCACCCAAACTGTGATCAGCCCCCGCCAGTCACGCTAGTTTTCCCGTAATCTGGTGCGGGGTGCCGTCAAGCTGACGCGCAAACACACAGGGATTGGTGTTTCACTAAAATTTCCGCTTTAGCCAATCCCTTACACTTCAGAGTTTTTTTTTAGTCGAAGTCCGTTTGAAAAGCAAAACATTATTGAGTAACTCTGTTTTTCCAGTGTTTTTAGACGGGAGAAGTCTGTGACTTCAGCCAAAAGCAGGGGGCCAGGCATGATTAATCAGCGTGCCTCCAAATGAATCTAGGGGCCTGCAGCAGAGGCTTTATTAGACAGCTCTCTTTGCATAAGCCCCAGCCGTGAATAAGACATGCAGAGACTCTGCTGTCACCATGTTTGTCAATCTTCAGCATCACTTGTGTTGTGTGGCATCTCAAAGACCTTTGGTGTCTGCATCCTCAGGGAGTGGTGGAAATATCTCAAGGACTTAAGCGTTTCTGAAGTGTAACACTACACTCGAGGAAAGTCGTATCGGGTACGCGAGTCAACGGAGGTTACACGAGGAGGTTGGACGAAAGAATACGAAAGGACGAAGGGACTCGTAGGGTCGCAACCGGAGGTTGCGACTGACCGTTACAACTGCAAGGGTGGTAACCAAACCGACAATCGAGTCGCTGTGCGACTCGATAACCGTTCCTTCAACTGTATTCTACAATTGCTTTACTTTCCTATTTTCTATATATTGCTGTATGCTTGTTTCTTTTAATCAATCACTTGCTCTCACATACAAGTGCAAGGGTTCAACTACTCAACACTTCCGCTGCACTACTCAAACACCTTGTACAAGTGGGACTTAGTCTCTGGAAAGATCCTAAGGGCTTTTCTCAGCCCATCATGGTATGAGAGCTGGTCAGAGACCAAACTTCCATCAACGACATCCAATCTACAATCAGCACATCAAGAGCTTCATCGATTACAAGTCATGGACAACAAGGGCAAGAAGTCTTCTACGGGCTCACCCAGCGCCCAAGACAATCAACCCGGCACCTCTGGACTACACACTTCAGGACTACAAACTGAGACCGGCGCTGCTCAAGAAACAACAGGAAGGGTACCAGAAATGGTGACCCCTTCACCCTCTTCAGGCGTGGACCCAAACCTTATGGAAAGGTTCTTCAGCTTCATGTCGCACTTTGACCAGCAGCAGCAGACAAGGACACCTGCGCGTTCAACACAGAGCAACGGGGGAAATATGGGATTAGCACCAATGAGCCTCGACAACTCATCATTCGGGCGGCACAATCAGGCACCTACCTTTGCGCCTTATCACTCTTCACCAGGGACGTTCGAGTTCATGCCGCCCCGTGCTCAACCGTCAGCAGCTGCATCACAACAGACACCAAACGAGATATTGAGTCTCCAGGCGCTGTTTTCACATGTGATCAAACTGCAGACATCTTCACCGTTCAACGGGCACGACTTCTTTATTTGGAGTTTTGAGTTCGAGCTGCTGATGGAGGCTGCGCACCTCTTGGGATACTTCAACGGGTCCCTGCCATTTCCAAGCAATGGCACTGCAAAGGAGCAAGAAAACTTCACTTATCAGTCGCTGCTAGCATACACAGTTCTCCTGCGAAATCTGTCACCATAAGAGCAACAGAGCATCAGAACGTATCGGAGCTACGAAAACTCCGCGGAGCTCGCCTGGCATCATCTGAAGTGTCTCTATCAAGCAAACGACAGCGTGACACAAAGCAGACTCGTGCAGTAGTTGACCACAATACAAATGAAGACCGGGGAAAAGGCGATGCAGTATATGAGTTGCTGCCAGACACTCCGCGACCGCCTACTTCGGTGCGGAGGTACAATTACTGAGGAAAGCTTCGTGACACTTGCTCTTGCCGGGCTTGGACCAGAATGGAGAACCACGCACTCGCTTCTTCGCGCCCACGGACGAATTTCCGAGATGCACCTCTGCGCCGAACTTCATGCCGAACAACAAGAGATGGACCTGTTTGAAGAAAGACAACCAAGAAACAAGCAGCAACCGTTAGTCTTCTATACTCAACGAAGAAACGACAACAACTACAACCGACGCGATAAGCATAATCGATATGACACAAGAGGTCTCACCGTCGTGCTGCCGTTTTGCCACAATTGTCAGACATCCGGATACTCCAAGGTTAACTGCACACACCCTCGATTTTATCGTCCAGCAAATCCGCAAGTCGCCTCCACTCAAGAAAATCCGCCAAGCCGCTCCTCTACACCTGTAGGAGACACACCAAACATCATCAACTGTATGGTACGGTTCGACAGCTGCAAACCCGAGGCACCACCCACTTATGCTCCAGACGAAGAAGAACTGCCGCCGCCATGCTCACAAAGTCTTCAAGTCAACCCCACGTACAGTATGCTGCAGTCGCCAACGCCGAACCCACCGGGCGAAACACCTGGTTCTTGGACAGTTGCTGCAGCCAACACATGTGTTCTTCTGGGCGCTTCGTGCAATGAGAGCGACGCCTCAATCGCGAAGTTATCATCACCGTCGCCAACAACGAGAACCTGAAAACAAATAGACAAGGCCTCGTTCAGCTTCAGTCAATGGAGACAAACGTCATACTGCAACTCAACAAAGTTCTCATCGTTGACAACTTGGGATACAATCTACTAAGCGCCAGCCAGTTAATGGCGAAGGGAATTCACATCGAATGCGACTCGGACGATAACGAGTTTCGTCTTTACCACGGGAAGGGCTGCCTCTTCATCGGTCGCGCTCTCCTGAAGTCGGGCATCTTCTTGCTGGACTTCGTCCCCGACCGCGGAACTGCCGACAGCGATGGCATCGTGTCATTCGCCGCCTGGACACACCCGCCAGATCTTGACCCCGACTTCACTCCAGACGGATTCTGGTACTCCAACACCATCCCTGCAGCAGAAAGAACACGCGCATTAGCAGTCATTCGTCAAGAACGACAAGTACCAGCAAGTACACCTTCCTCGACATCACTTGTAGTAACAACAGCAGGACCCAACCGCGCGCCATCATCAGCAATCCGAGTACCGCCATCCGAAGAGGATCAACTCATGCCCATCACCCGAGGATTCTGCCGAAGTCCCGCTACGGTCGCCGCGTTCTTCTCCAACACCAACCTGTACCAGTGTTCACCCGGCCATCGCGCTCCCGACGACATCTGGCATCAACGCCTCGGACACCCTGCAAACAGCACAATACTACAAACCATACAAGCCGGAGTAATAGAAAAGGACGCTCTCCTCACAACGAGCGGCTAGGAGCATCGACAACCCTGCGCACGATGTTTCACGTGTCCTGAAGCTGATCTTCCCCACCAACCTTTCCCGTCGCACCACAACCCAAGCGCACCTGCATATGCACCGATGGAAAAAGTCTATAGCGACATCTCAAATATGCCTCGAGACGACAGTGAAGCAGAGTACAACTATGTCATCACGTTCATCGACGCAGCAACAAAATACGAATGGCACTACAACCTCAAGACACGAAATCAAGCGTTCGAAGCCTTGACGACGTGGCTCCCCATCGCTGAAAGAGAATCGGGTTCGCAACTCAAGAGTTTCCAATCAGACGGAGCACTCGAGTTCCAGTTGCAACGATTCAGGAACTACTTGGCAGAAAGAGGCATCCGACGCCTAGCGTCTCTGCCCTACGCTCACCAACAGCAGGAGGTTGCAGAGAGGATGAACAGAACCTTGCAGATGACGATGCGGAAGCTGCTCAAGGGGATGAGACTGCCCAACACGCTTTGCCCTGACGCGAAGACGCATGCACTCCATCTGTGTAAGAAATAGAGTTGAAAT